TAACTAAACAACAATATGCTTAATGCTTCAAAGTGGCTTTCCAGCTGCTAGCCAAAATTGTAGAATAATTAACAGGTGCCAAAGGATTAATAAAAGGAGTAGCATAATTAATAGACACTCTACAGAAAAAAAATGAATCCTTGGCAATCCTGAGAGTGTTGTTGTTTCCTCCTCCTTTTCTTAATTGTTTCCTGCATTCCTTTAATAAGAAAAAAAAAGAAAACTAGTGCCCTTAAAACCCAAATGATACATATAAGCAACAATGCATGATCAGAAGAAAACTGGCAACAAACTGCCTTGAGGTGTAATAAATGCCTTAGTTTAAAGAAACTGCCCCAACTACCTGTCCTACCCTACTACTCGTGTTCACACAGAACTTTACAGCAGTATGTAGTACAGCTAAAGTCACAAAGAACCACTGGACTTGTTCCCACCAAATCAGAGTATCAAAAAACAATACAAAAAGCCATGCAGAAAGACTCCTATGAAACACTCGTGAAAAGCTTAAAGCCTTTAATATAATCTTTACAGAAAACTAAACAAGTTTCTTTTCTGTCCTTAATGAGGGAAGTAGAACAGAGATATTGAAATAAAAAATGTGATCTCAGTAGCTGTATGTGACCAGGTCTGCATTCTGTGAAATTTATCCAAATCTGCTGGGACCTRGAACTTACACACACTGGAAAACCAAAGACCAGAACCCAAGTTTACATTGGAAACAAAAAGCACTCTAACGATTTTACAAACAGGTCTTTAGCTTCCCCTATCATCACAATCCCACAAAAGTGAGGAGTTAAGACAACACCACAGTCCCAAAGTAAAAGTTCTCCCCTATGAGGTGATGCATGTACTGTGACATCTTGAGAGTGTCATTATCACTCAGAACATCAGTGCAGACTGCTGGGAGTTCAGCAAAAAAAGGCAACAGCAAGAAAAATTAGTTGTTGCCAAGAAGAATTGCTTTGTGTGCACAGAAAAGTATGTGCAGTGTGTTTTACTATGACAGTGGGCTGCAGACACATGAAGGATGCCAACATTAAGAGAAAAGAGTAATTAGTTCAGAGGTACAAATGAACTCRTTTTCATGTTTGGATCAATAAAAAACTCCAAAATCTTTGCCCATGAGATCCCTCTCCCTAAACAAACAAACACATGTCCTCAAGAGAAGATGCCCTTTGGAGATAAAAATCAAACTGTACAAATRGAGATAAAAATCAAACTGTACAAATCAATGTAAGTGTGCAAGGACGAATAATCTTGCACATGATCAGAGCAAGTCCTTTCTCAGCACTGAGATTTCTTCTGTCTCTTGTTGAAGAAGTTTTAYGTTGAAAAGAAAACCATGAAGCCTTTAGCACATATTTACAGTGGCTGTTATAGCAGGCAAACCACCTAATTTTCATATAGTTTATTACAAAAAAATGAAAAAACTATTTCCTCTCTAATTCAGAGCACATTAATAGACCAAGGGAAGGGTTCTCATGTCTATCTCTTAAATGCTGTATCCTCTAGCCAGTATCCTGAATAGAGAATTTTTTACTACAAGGTATTGGCCCACAGCATAAAATAAATAGTTAATGACATTTCACCTAATGAGACAGAGCTAGGTTTTAATAAAAATGAAATAAAAAAACATACAGACCCCACCAAAAAAACCCCACTAACTTTCTCTKTGTGTCAAAATGGAGTATTTCCGCAGAGATAAGGGGTATGCAAATAGTTTCAGAGGATTTCCATCTATCTCTGCATTATTCATTATCACAATAACTGGGCAGTTTCTCTATTACTTTTCAAAACATTTAAGAGTCTTTGCAGTCATGGGTTTTTATTCATTTTACAGTGGAAGAACTAAAACAAGGTGTCCAAGGTCCCAGAAGGCACCAAGGACAGAACCTGGTGTGCAAGCTGAATTTGCTCCTCTTCAATCCTCAGTAAAAAATGTCAATTTTTCAAACACTCCTTGTATCTGACATTAGTGCAGTCCAGTGGAGATCATTTTTGCTGCAGAGCTACCACGACAGACACACCAGGGACAAAGAGCAACTGTTTTCTGACTACACACTTAAAATGTAGAAAAGTGTATTCCCCAGCTCCCTGCTGGCATGTTCCTGACAATGGCCCCAATAGTCTGCTCCTAGTGGATGTTAGGCTAACAAGTATGTTTAAAACTATGGGTCAAAAGTCCCTTAAAAAGAAGTGCAGCACCAGAGAAAGGTATGTTTTATCCAAAAAGTGATTCTTACTATCCCAGAGGTTTGAAGTTAAGACTCATTACACTGCATTTCTATACTATGGGCTGCTGGGGAGAAAGCAGCTACTTGAAATATAAAAGGCTGTGTGAGAAAGGGAAAAGTGCTTTCACATCACCCCCAGAAAAAGGTATCTGTCTGTATCATTGCAGCTGTGGTGACCAAAGAGAAGAAAGCTTGTAGCAAAGAGGGATCTGCACTCCACCCTTCCAAACTTTGCACTTCTCCTTTTTCCAGTCTCTGGATAAAATCAGCTCAGCCTACCTGAGGCCCATTTGCTCATCAAACAGTGAAAAATGATTTATTACACCAAAGGAAATTGCTCTACTTCTTGCCTGATACTACTGCTGTTGGTACTCTCAGAGTGCTTTGGAACATCAGAAACAGTGAAATTTTTATCAGAAAGCATAAAAATGCTGGAATCCAGAGAGTGCTCTTCATGTTTCATGTGAAACATTTGTCTTTCTTTGGGCCAAAGCTGCACCTACAGCACAGGTACATGAAGATGTGTGGGTTGGACTGAACCCTGCCTTGATTTTGGTGAACCCCATCAGAATGGAAACAAGAAGGAGCGGAGGCCTGAAAACCTCTCGGCTCTGTGTGCGAGTGGGGGAATTCACCACATCTCCCTGCTGCACTGGAATGAGTGAGGGCTGAAAGAATTTGTTATGCTCCACCTAATCAACAAAAACAACAGCAGAGATGGAACCAAACAAAATTGCAGACCTGGAAAATCCTCGGACTCTGCAGATCTAAACCCAGCCTCCACACACAGTACCACAGCCTGAACTAGAAATTAGCTACTCTGCCTGCCTTCTGAGGCAGTTTGGATTCAAGATCAAAGCTGCACCTCAGACACMTCTCTAAAAATAAACAAACAAACAAAAAATAAATGAGAGGAGCCCATGCAGGAACTGAAAAACCTTGTATTAATACCTCTTAAAGCCTCATGACACGAAATCCAAAAGGTGCTGAGTTATTTCTATACGTGTTATTAGCAAGACTACTCCTGGAACATCATCTTCAATCTTCTTCTGTTGTCCTCACTTTAAGGATGTCTGAAGTGGGAAACAGTTCACAGAGGTGATAYAAACAGAATTTGAAATCTGAAAGCTTAACAGGAAGACTGACAGCCTCAAGAACCTCTCTTCCTATCCAGTTTAGCCAAGAAAAGGTTAAGAAGTGACTATCTAAAAGCACCTATATCAGGAGGAGTCTTTCGACAATATTTAGCAGGAAAGGCGATAATGAGATCTAATAGTTGGAAACTGAAGCTTGACTAATTCAAACTATAAATAGGGCACTTAAAAAAAAGGCAAATAAGGAGATAATTAAGCATTAAAAGAACATCTAGAGACCTTTATATCCTCYTCATCACTTAAGTCTTTTACAGGAAGAGCAGAAATCTTCCTGCACGTGCTATAGCTCAGTTACTGGACCTAAACACAGCAGCTACTGCATGAAGTTCTGTAACAAAAGTTATACCAGAGGTCMTTTTAGGAATTCAGAGTGGCTGCTYCTGGCCTAGCTATGAATCTCTGAACTTTAAAAACAGAGGTTTTAACGGTGTTTGGGTCTGTTGGTTGACAAGTGTTTCATATTAATATTGACTGCATACTGAGCTACAAAATACTCCAATGTCATTGACTACAATTAGTAAGGCTGTGTAAATGTGCTCCATGTTGTTTATGACCTCAGACACTAACTTTATGGAAGGCTTTTTCACAGATATTTCATGATTAATCATCAGTGCTTTTACATTGCAACAAGTCAGACTGGTGTGGAAATACTAAGGGGAAAGAAGCATTGCATGTTTAAAAATGTGTCAACCAAAAGCACAGAAAAACCAAAACAAAAGTCAAGGTGAAAGGTTGGACCACACCTAAAAATATTGTGAAAAAAGTCTTCACTGAGAAGAAACCTTAGAAATTCTACTCTATCCAGCATGCTGGCTGGCTGATGGGAGGGTAGCAGGTTTTGTTTGCTCCTGGTCCTCTTGCTTGTTGTTGCTCAAGCACCCCAAGAATGTAACACCTGAGAGAAGTTTACTTAAAACAKCTTTATTTCCACCAGAACTGCTTACCCTCCAAAAAGGAAAATTCCACTCTTCTTTTTCCCATCCTACCTAATCCACCTCTCACTGGCCAACAGTCCTTGGCCTTTCCTATTTGTCAAACACTAATTAAACCAACAAGGAAGTACCTGGCTCTCCCCTTGCCCCCAGCTCCAATATTTGTTCCAATGTCAGTTATGTYCTTCCTCCTTTGCAGCATCCTTTTGCACTCAGCTAAGCTCATTCCTGCTCCTTTCYCACTGCTTCTGGCAGCATTCATGCTCTACACTAGAGAACCTGGGCACCACAAGTGTTTGAGACCTCTCAGAACCTGAAATGTAGCCACAAACGCATTCCACAGCTGCTGAAACTCTGACCTTGTGTYGCAGCACGTAACTGAGCAATTCCAATAAAGTGGAAGGAAACACAGCACTTCMCGTCCAAATAAACCTTCCATATTTGTGCTGTCATGAGAAAAAGGCCAAATGCTTGACAAGGGGTGCAGGGATGGGAGGGAGAGATTCAGCATACTGTATTTAAGAGTTATTAAACAATAGCTAGGAAAACCAAACCAACTTAGAGCTTATTAAAAAAAAAAGTACAAAACCAGGGATTTCCCTGCTCTCTTCCGTAAAACCAGAAATAACTCCTCACCCCCACCCCTGCAAGAATTTGAGCAGCCCCGTGCTGACACTCACGGAGGTGTGCTGGCAGTCTGATGGTGTCCTCCTCCATCCTGATGGCTTGAGGCACTGGGACATGTAGTGGTGACGAGTTGTAATTTGGTACCGGGCTCGCTGGAGGTGTGTACGAAATCCTTTCTTGCTGTTAAAAGAAAGTAGGGGGGGGGAGGGGAGGGAGAGAAAGACAGAGGACAACGTGAACTTTGGAACAGAGGTGTGAAACCACGGCAGAGGAGGGGGAAGTGGGTGGAAGGAAGGAAGTGTGTGCCTGGTGATGTGAGCAGCACCAGTGATGCACCCAGAGAGCACAGAGCACACACACAACGCTGGCAGCCKGCGCTGCCCAGTGCTGCAGGGGAACAAACACCTTTTAGGGGAGTGGGCTTAATTTTCAAAAGGTCTGTGAAGTTGCCAAGGGTCTTCTCAGAAATTTGCCAAGGGAGGAAAGGGGAATGCCACGCAAGTGGGGAGACTCCAAGGGGTTTATGTCAGTGAAAATCTGACAGCAGCTCTATGATACACGTGTGAATACCACCAAAGTGCCAAAACCACTCAATCTTACACTAACAAACCAGTTATAATCGAAACAAGCTCAGTGTTTAACACCATACTCCTCCCTAGCCTTTTAGAGACATAATCAAAAACTTTTGTCTTTRCTGCAGAAAAACACATCACTAAACACTGCTCTATTTACCATCCAGTAATGTAGTATTTTGCTTTAGTACTTCTTTCAAGTAGTTTAACTTGCAACCAAATACCACCAAAGAGAGTCAAAGGGCAATTTGTCAATGTTGCATTAGTTTCATAATTGTCACAGTTAGGTTTTTACTTACAAAAATGCCTGACAAGAGATCTAAGACTGAAACTTCATGCGATCTGACGCGAAAATTTTTCAATATTCTATGCCTGTACTCCAATCATTGTACAGAATCTACCCTTTGTAAATAAACACAGCCACAATTTTACAGCAACATGAAAAAACCCATCATCCTCTTCCTGGAAGGCAGCACATGTCATTCTCCAAAACCATGCTACTGACATGTAATGACGGCAGTGCGAACAGGATGGATTTACATCCCTGCACACCCAGAAGCAGAAAGAGCTGCCTTAATTTCTGACCTTGATCTCTGGCAAACAGAAAAGAAAGTTGGTGCTGGACCAAGAGAAGGTAATTCCTTCCATGACAAACCACAGCATTATCTCAGCCATGAGACAGGGCAATAGACTGAGGCTGACAGAGGCACCTGGGTTAACGTTAGCACCCTTAACACCTAAGGGAAAGGGAGGTTTGCAAAAAGTTCTGCAGGCAGATTGGGTGACACGTCAAAAAATAAACAGAACACCTAAAAAGTCTTGCAGCCACTGCTGCAAAGCAAGCCCAGTTCATTCTTTTGCAAGGTGCTGATTGCTGCTCATGAGATCAGGCAGAAGCAGTTTAGCCTCAGTWTCAGGAGTCCCACCACTACACCCTACAACCACATGGCAGAGAAGACTGACAGCAGGTGGACAATAAACTATTTATAAATATTCRGGGTTCAGACAGAGTGAGAAGACAGGCCTGWTTCACTGCACCATCACTTTGTTATTTCTGCAAGTATGGCCTCTGTGGCTCTCAGCTCAGAAATTGTGGGAGACAGGAACATAAGATTGAACAAACTCAGTTTCTCTCTACTGATCACTGTCCAGGTAACAGCAATGCATTAGCTTGCAYGAATTCCGTTTTCCTGCTTTCCACACGGGGACGTTCACTGCGATGTGATGGAAGGCGCACCTGGGGAGCCAAAGGCGTTCTTCTGTTTCCAAATGATGCAACTCCTCCTTTCCTGACCCAAAACTGTGCTTGCCTCTTGGTGCCCAGGTGCACCTCTCACCCTGCTGAGGGCCAGGAAGGGCAGGGAGAGCAGGCACTTCCCAGTGTTTCCAGATAATGGAACCGCACTGCAGCTGCTCGCTCTGCTCACCCAGATATTTATAAAAAGAGGAACACTTCTGACACACGGCCACACAGATGGCCGCCTCCGCAAACGGGCGCTAGAGGAGAGGTGGGAGACTTGAGGTCCTTTTCCTCCCTCCTGAAGAATGCAGGATACAGGCCAAGCTCAGGTCACATTTCACATTCACAGAAATACTGAATCACCACTGCAAAGACAAAGTGGCTTCAAAGGGCCTCCTCATGCCCAAGAGCAGGTGGAAAATGAAATTAAATCCACAACCCATCCACCTCCCTCAACATCCAGGAGGTGCTGTATCARACTAAGACATTTTGCTTCCAGTACGTGCTGCCTTTACTGATCAACGCCCTAAAGGGATACCATAACTTGATTTATACCATGACAGCTTCATTGAGATTTACTGTTATAAACAAATGCATTTGATTCATTGTTTCCTAGTATTCATAAGGACGGGACAGCTAAAACCAAACAAGATATGGATCCACAGTTGTTTTTCCCACACACCTTGGATGTCCCCAGTAYTTTGTGAATTAATATTTGCAGAAGGTTTTTTACAAGGCACAAAGGGGAGTTAGCTGTCCAACTCCTGTTAGTGCCTTTGAAATGCCCTCTCTTGCTACTCCTGCATTTTTCTGTCGGCACCTTTAGCCTAAATATCAAAGCAATTTACAGACATTAGGTAAGTCTTTTGCTTTTTATTAGACACATGGACAACCTGAGTTACAGCAAGAGCAAAGCTCAAATGAGCTAAGTAATTTCAGAGTTAAGCTGTCTTGAAAAAGGACAGCATGTGCCTCTCAAGGGCACTACATTTAACAATTGCATGCTGAAAGAGCTGCCCTTGTAACTGTCCTGGATGGATTTCCAGAAGGTGTGGAATGGTAATGGCACAGGAAGGTCAAGACACTGGGCTTGTGGAAAAGATTAGTTTAATCCCTGTTCGCAGCACGGAGCAGAACTACAAACACCAGTGTGGTTCTGCAACCTGCCCCAGCTCTGTGCTCAGCCTGCACAAGGTCACACGTGCTCCTCCAGCCTTTCGAGGCTTTTCAKTCACATTTCCAGAACCTATTGTGCTCACGCCACTGAGAAGGGATTGCATTCAGCTTCACAACTCCAGAAGTGGCCAATGTTTCTCTCTGTGGGATCCACCAAACAAAAACATGGCTGATGCCTCATGCTTCAAAGGTTATGCAACCAGATACTCTGCTACTAGGATTTTTTCTGAAAGCGTTTCCTAACTAGTCAAGATTAATATTTCCCTTTGTGTTAAGGCCAAGAATGGTAGGGTTGTTCAAGCCACAGCTTGGAGGAAGCACAGGCAGTGCTGGTAGAACCTGCATGAATCTCACGTGTACTTGAGCAAACAGCATTGCTGCAGCTTAATCAACTGGTAAAAGAAACTAAATCRATACAAATTTGATGTGGTCCTTTGAGATTTTTGATGTGGTCKTTTGAGATTTTTGGTGATGAGTGCTAGAAAGGAGCTTAGTATTACCACATTCCATATTCACCACCTGTCAGGGGACTCTATAAACATCTAAACCTACAAGTGACCAAATGCTCAGCCCCAAACAATTGCCAGCTACGAAATTTCAAAAGAGCAACTTTGCCAGTAGCCACAAAGACGTGACTAAAASAGCTGCCTATTGCTTGCTGTCATCATTTTTGATGGGTTTCTTCAGCTYCCAGGGATTGAGAAAGTTTCACCATGGAATTTCACCTTGCCTACAGCATGTGGAGTGATGCATTAAGTCACCTTTTACAGAAGGCCATCCCTGGGGTTTCTCTGGTGGCTGGTGCTCCAAGAGTGCCACCTGGACAATCAGCCACGTCTGCTGAGAGCAGGACATGGTTTCACCGGCCCAACTGAGCAGGCACAGGCTGAAACACATGCCTAAAAATCAAGAGAATTTATGGGGTTTTTCCTTTTACTAAATAATCAGCTACTGAGAATGCCATAGATCAAACCATCYTGTCCAAATCAGAAGCTATATTGACCATGACTATGCAGTAGGAGTGTATGTAACAGCTGACTAGACTCCCAAAGCCATCAAAGCACAGAGATTTCAGTTTGAAAAACTGCGGTACATCCTTTACTGACTAAATCCACCTAAACAGAATTTTCTGTCAGGAATACAAATAATTCAAATTGATAAAATGAAAATATTAATACAAAAAATTCAAAATAGCAAAATTAAATTAAAAAGAAGTCTAACACTTGAGGATGAGGAAGGGCTGCAAAGCTTCAGGCTTTTGATATAATTGCATCCTTCTAAACTCCAAAGCAACAGCCTTGCAACCTGATAAGTCTTTTTGTCCCTTTACTAAGTTCACTCAGATGGCAGGCACAAAGGATATTTTTTCAGAAATAAAAATGAAATATGTAAGTAAGTCTGCTAAGCAAGCTCTCATGTTATCCCAATGACATGATTATTTCAGTAGTTGACAGGTGGTATAGTAAAACTGCCTTTTTTAATTGATAAAGCACAGAAATGCACTACCTATGCAGCAGCTTTCAGGAAACCCAAACAGCCAGTGTGATCTGCAAACACCTCGTGCTGGACAGAAAAGGCAGCTGACCCTATTCACTGCATAGAAACTTTCTCCTACACAGCACATGATGATACCAYACAGGGAGAAATGAACTGAGGGTCCAAGCTGGCACACAATTGCCTCCCAGGACCCCAGGACCTGTGCCACGAGATGAACAAACGATGAACAAACGATGAACCTGTGAGGGTCTGGTTTTGCTGTTGTGGATCCTCRTAGGAGTAGGTGGCTCGAGCACAGTAGAGGGGAGAAAAGGGCCTCASAGAAAAGGGTTGTTGGGGGTAAATKATGTCTTTGCAGGAAAACTTCAGAAGGCCCTGAACATCTGGGCACCCAGYAGGGCAATGCCACCAAACCAGGCACAGAGCAGCACAGGGCACAAGAGCAGGAGAGTCAGGTAAATTAATCCTTAAGGAAGCAAGGGAGGGGAAGAGGAAAGGGAAGGGAGACAGATGCACTGTTCCCCAGTGGTTTGGATGCAGAACCATAGCTGGACAGGAAAGTGCACAAGGCCACTATGAGATGAGTTRCAGCATCTACCACAGGGAGCAGGAAGGAAATCAGAGCCCCTAATGGCCTGTATGGCACATTTGGGGACTTTGGTCAATGTTATAGCTTGCATGCTCCATCCAACTCC